TCATGGCCTCATTATACGTCATCGCCGTTTTCAGTAATGTGAATACTAATACGCTGGCTGATATTTTACCTGACATCTTAAAGAACACGATGGATGAAAGGAGGGCGTCTGGAAACTTGCTAAGTAACTCCAGTGTGGATGACATTCTTCGGTCTTGTGATGAATGGCACCAGTTTCAAATTCACGAACAATATCCACCGCCAGACGGATGGCGGTCCGATGGACTACCCGTTGACTGTTGTTCTAACCGATGTTAATATGGACCACCTGGAGTTGAAAGCTCTTAATGAATGCCCGCCAGAATTCCGACCACTGTTCTATGTCTGATTCGCTGGTAACATTTTCCTATTGTTCCAACGAAATGAGGAGAACTTAAAAGGTTGGAAAGTTTCATGAATTACATGAATGGACAAGATAAAAATGGCTGAACACACTTTATTATCTAAATGGAAGTTTTCCACTCTATATGCTTTCTGGACGTGCTAGTGAAGAGGACGCCATAGTCTGAATTTGATGCTTCTGCATGTCCGAAACCAACATACTCCAATCGATACCTATACCCGTTGTCGTCTGTCCCTCCTGGATTACTTAGCAACGTGGTGAAGAACATGTTTGCGAGCCCAAGAGACTTGCACTAACATCTACGGCCTAAACGCAGAAATATTACATCTTCACCAAGCGTTCCTGAAGAACGGTTACTGAAGGAGGATCCTTGACGAAGAACTTCTGCACAGCAGCTCAAATTTAAAGTTGGCTAGTTCCTGTAGGCTAATGGCAATTTTACCGTTCATACCCAGGTATCTCAGCGTATCGTAAGGTACCTAAATGGCATTGGGTTTAGGGTACAAGACTATCAAAACATTAGGCGACATTTTAATTAAAAAGTACATGCCCACTGATAAACCTGGAGAAATGTAAAATGCTGTCTACGAAGTTCAGTGCAGAGACTGCGACAAGGTGTACAATGGAAAGATCAACAGGGAACTGAACATCGTATAAATTAGGACCTTGCTGCGGTCCGCCTTAGACAGGGTGACAATTCTGGTACTAGCCAGCATGCGATTACTGAAGGGCATTCTTTCAGTCTGAACAATGTGTCTGTTATAGACAAAGACCTATCTAAATTAGGTCTGCTGATAAATGAGTCCTTGCATATACTAGCATCGAAAAACCGGATATGCAACGAAAACATCTGTTGCTACCAGTGAAAGCTAAATGAGCAATCACAAAATTGCTACGCAAAATCGGGTCAAAATGACAAAGATCCGATTTATTTTGATGTCGACATCGTACTTTGTTCAGACAGTTCAACAATGTTTTGACTGTATGCGATAAGCCAATTGAAAAATTGTCATCGTTCGCTTATTGGACATGCCTTTAAACAGTCAGTTGTACTCATTCCAGCCATGATGATGATGCGGTCTGTGCAGTGAAACATTGGTATTAAACTATTTACCATATGCTGTATTTGGTGCCAAACAACTATGTAAGTAACGGATATTCCTTACTGATTTATTCATTTATCCATTTACTTACTAAATTAAGCATTTAGCCACATTCCTACCCAACTATCGGCTTAAGTTTCTACTTATTTAACTGCTTGTTTCTTCGTTTACTAGCACCTGTATGTACATACTAACTGTTTCGTCATTTTCAAACATACATTTTTCTTCACTTATTTACTTAACTACTTAGTTACCCATTTACTTACTTAGTTGTTCTTATTTACATAATTAGCGACTTATACACACATTATTAGGAGTCAGGCTGATTTCTTAGCGAACGTCGGTGAAGAGGAGTTGTTGCTCTCGTAGAAGAGTTGCTCAGCGAGCTGTTGCCGCTGTCAACTCACCAGACAACTACGGAATTCGTGTCTCCAGCAGTCAAAATTACAAGAGGCAATTTCCTTTGCTTGTTGGAACCTTCATGTCTTGTCAGGCGAAAAGTAAATTAGACGATTTCTGCTATATGGTTCGTGGTTAAAAACTCCATGAACTAGCGGTGATGGAAGTGCGCCTCCCGGGGAAGGGGATGCTTGGCCTGCAGAAGGGGTGGTCAAGCCAGAACAGATTACGCCGTACCAGTGTAGGTATCCTTCCGTCAAACAGAGTAAGCCGGGCAGTTATTTCGCTGGAACAGGTGTTGGAGAAAATCATGGTCTGTAGCATGACTACCAAACCGGCGAATCTGAATGTGTCGCCTATGACCTGACAGATGTGTCGAATGACAGCGATAAAAACGCATTCTATGACTGTCTGCAGTCGGCAGCAAGCGCCCAGTCGCTTCAAAACGTCACACGCGAACGACAACGGCGGGCGTGTGATAACCTTCTGTGAGACAAACAGCTTAATCGTTGGCGGGACAATTTTTTCTCATAAGCCTATTCACCAAACCACGTGTACGTCCCCAATGAAAGCTAAACACTCAGCTGGATCAGGTTCTCATCAACCACAAACTGTGTAGCTCGTTACTCGAGACTCGCGTCAGGTGTGATGCCTGCATCGAGTCTGATCACCGTATGGTCGTAGAGAAACTTCGTCTAAGATTAGCCGTGACACAACCTCGTCGTTAGGCCGAAACACATCAGCTACTTTATGTTCACCGGCTAAAATATGACGAAGCGACACGGTTGTCCTACCAAATGGAGGTAGAGAGTTATCACTAAGTTAAGCCTCTTTACTGCTCAGTCAAGAAGTGGCAACGTCCATGAAGCTTACAAAGACTTCAGAGAAGCCATCCCTGCCCCGCGAAGAACGTAGTTAAGAGCAGAAACGGACTAGTCAAACTCCCTGAGTTACGGAGAAGACCTTAGCCTTCAGAGTGCAAAGGAATCAAGCAAAGGAGTAATTGTAACACCCTAATGCACTATCGAAAACAGCTCATCGCCA